CTGTGTTTTGTGCGCCAGGAAGGAGCGGCAGGGAAGTGGAGAGAGGAGGGCTGGGGGCAGGGGGAGGGCCCGCTGAAGAGTTTTGCTGGGTCGGTTTCAAAGGTGCTGGTCTGTCTGTCCGAGAATGATGGGTGCTTTTCTACGGGGAGCTTGGGGATTGCGGCCTGGGGGGTTCGGGCTGTTGTCCCTCAATGGCGCATCCTTTTGAAGTTAGAAAGTTTAGCATCATCTGTATAAGCACCTTTGCTTTGTTACCTAAACCACTTCCCTTAAGGATGCCTGAGATTGCCTCCTGGGGACAGGAGGGGAGCTGTCAAGCTCCTCTTGGCGGAGGCATCAGAAGACCCCCATCCCTCGCCCTTGTTGGCCTGTGTGTTCCTTTCCAGCTGGTCTTCCTTCTCAGGGCCGCTTCCACACAACGCTTTCATGGCCACAATGCTTTCATGGCCATCTCTGTTTTTTCCTTCAACTCTTTATGAGATTTGAGACTTTTGCAACACTTTAATATTTGCTTGGAGTTTGCAGTGTGTTTCATGCTCCTTGCAGTGTTATGAGCCAGGATTGAGCACTTGCTAGTAGAGAGTTCAGTTCCTACTATGGTCTGTCCCTGAGCCTTTTTCTAATGTTCTCCTTCACTTGGTGAGCTATATGCTGCCACCAAAAGTAGTTTTGTTGGCTTCAGAATCTTCCTAATATGGTGAAGTGGGAGTTAAGACATAACAGATAAACTGTAGAAGTCATGAATCTGGTCTAAAAGCCATCTTAAACTCCCAGGCCCGTTTAAAATGGTAGAACACCGTGTTTTCTCTCCCCTTTTTTAAATGACTTCGAGACTGTTGCTCTGCTCTGGTGTGCTTAGACTGTGTGGTGTTTTTTTCATGTGTTTACCTCAACACCAAAGAGTGTTTAGAAAGAAAATAGCTGTCTTTTTCACCACCTCCTCGGAATAACAAATTGCTTCTATTTATATAGAACCCCATCCCAGGCTTCTGGACGCCTTGTAAATTATGGCAAAAACTGTCTTAAGTATGGGTTCATAAGTATCTTATTTGGGTCATGTTTTTTAACCATTTAATTTTTAATTTTCTACAAACTTTCACATATGGTATTTCTAAATTTAGTCACTGGAATTTAATATGGCAATGAATACTAGATGCTAAAAAAAATTAATAGAGCTGTATAATGCTGTCTTTAAAGTTTCAAACACTGTAATATGGAGCTCCAAGTTATTTCCTGCTTGCTTTAAACATGAACTGTCATGACTTAAGTTGACTAACTTTGGAGACATTTGCATTCTAAACATACTAGACAGGAACAACTGGTTTTATTTTAAAGGAGACATTGCCGTATTTTATGGCTGGTTATATGTTCACTTAATTAGTGTCCAAACCTTCCTAGGTGTTCAGGTGCTTCTAGTTCCTCAGTTGCATTGGAAGCTAAAACAGTTTAACTTGTTAAAACACGACATAGTAGTCAAAAGGTAAAATTATGCTTAGAAGTGAAAACAATGTTTTAAGGCATAAATACTAAACCACTGAATTACTATAAGCCACAGGAGTTCAGTGGTTTGAGTGGCCACATTCTAAAATTAGACAAGTTTTTTGGTTGCCACTTGTTTCTCAGTCTTTCACCTTTAAACTGTTTGCTAAATAAGATTTAACCATTTCACATTTATAATTTCATTAGTTAAAGATAAAAACATCATGACACTAGAAGAGGAAAGACTTAAAATAGTTCAAAGAGGCTAGGATATGCCTCCTAACACTAGGATATTCTTAACTAAGATTACTTTTAATTTAATACAGTAATTGCAGCTGGTTTAGATTTAATTTTTTGATTTTTTTTTAAATGAACCTTTTATTTAGAACTTTACCCCCACAAATTTAGAGTTTTCTTGCTTTGCTGGATCCACAAGAGTGGAAAGAAAATAATTATATTTGAATAAATCCTGAATTTGAGGTGAGATGAAATTATATAATAAGAGGGGAATTGGCAGAGTAGGTTAGAATTTCAATTCTGCCACTAACTAGCTTCATGTGCCTGTTTTCTTATCCTCAGTTGAAGGGTTGGTCTAGAACCCCCATCATCCCATAGAACTTTCTGCAGTAATGGAAATGCCCTATATCGGTGCTGTCCAGTATAGTAGTCACTAGCCACATGTGCCTATTGAGCACTTAGGGTAGGTAATGCTACTGAGGAACCCGATTGTTTTTTCCCCACTTCATTGATGTGATCGGTGTACATTTAAATAGCTGCATCTATGCCATATTGGACATATAGATATGCAACAGTATTTCCCAAGCTCAGCTAGTCTCTAGAATCACCTCTTACTGTAGATTTCTTGTGAAAATACCAAACCTCTCTCCTGGAGGTTATCATCCAGTAGTCTTGTAGTGGGGTCTGGGAATATATGTTTTTAATGCATGTCCCACAAAGTTTATCACATTGGCTAGGGAAACACTGCATTAGAAGATTTCTGAGCTCCCTTCTAGTTCTCACTTTAATATTGATAACCTAGCATAGTAGAAATGAGCTCTGGGCAGAGTTGGCAAACTGGCCTGGTTTTAGCTCTGCCACCTCCTGCCCTGTGATCTTAGGCAAGTTCCCTAATCTCTTGAGCTTCATTTTTCTCATCTAAAATATGGGCTGAAATCTGCCTCCCTCCCTCCTAAGGTTTCTGTAAATTTCTAATCAGATGTGACCATTGTATAAGAAAATGTAAGCTGCTATAAATCATCATTTAAGTGTTATCTTCCCAGGATTCCTTTTTCTTTGTCCCTTTTCACTGTGTTACCCAATTCCTACTTCATTCTTAAAGAACCGGTTGTATACAGTATTTCTTAATTAATACAGTAATTTCTTGTCTTCCCCACTGTTTGGCCATAGTTTTGCCGTCTAGTCCTAGGACATACTAAACCTAACACTTTTTTGTATTTCTGGTGCTTAGCATAATAATTTGTATCTATTGCTCAATAAGTATTGGTTAATACCACCTATTACTTTAATTTTAGGTTTCAAAACTTTAATTAGTTAGTTTCAGATTATTTTATACACCAGAAAAATAACCTCCTGTGTCCCCATAGGTGTTTAACCTTTTTTTTTTTTTAGAGAGAGGAAAAGTGAGGGAGGGAGGGAAACAAACATCGATGTGAAAACAAGAAACATCGATCCGTTGCCTCCTGTATTCGCCCCGATCCGGGATTGAACCCTCCAACCTGGTTATGTGCCCTGACCGGGAATCAAACAGGTGACCCGCCGAAACCGGTTTTGCTCAGTGGATAGAGCGTCGGCCTGCGGACTGAAGGGTCCCAGGTTCGATTCTGGTCAAGGGCATGTACCTGGGTTGCGGGCACATCCCCAGTGGGAGATGTGCAGGAGGCGGCTGATCGATGTTTCTCTCTCATCGATGTTTCTAACTCTCTATCTCTCTCCCTTCCTCTCTGTAAAAAATCAATAAAATATATTTTAAAAAAACAAAACAAAAAAAAAAAACAGGTGACCCTTTGGTGCACAGGACAATGCTCAACCAATTGAGCCAGGGTGATTGTTTCATTACTAATTACCCATAGTTATTATTGCTTAGTGATTATATATCTTTTGAGCAACTAGCTCCAAATATGTTTTTAAAAGATAAGCACCAAGAGAATACCATCAGTTTACATTAGTATTTTTAGGTTATATCTAGCCAACATGTTGCTGAATAACCTGTTTAACTTGTTTTCGCTATATTAACATATTAATAAATGATATCGTTCGATCACTCAGACTGCATTTGCACTACAGCTTTAGTATGAATTCTGTCATTTGGGTAAATTGATAGCTAATAATGATCTTTAAGACCCTCTAGGCTACTATGTTTCAGACGTAATTTTGACATGGTTGTCTTATTTTTAATAGCTTTTCAGGTTCATGCTTAAGGATTCATAGCTTTCTTCTGAAGAACTGAAAGTCCATTCATGTGAATTATTTATTTTATCATACATCCTTTCTGTGTGGTAAGTGGTATTTTCCTTATTTTGAAGAGATGGAAACTGAGACCCAAGTTATTGTTAATATTCAAAATCATAAGTGATAGAACCGGAACCCAAAGAAGTAGAAATTTGTATTTCTTATAGATCAAGGAGTAGCTTCCTTTTGCTCACTGTTACTTTAAATCTTAGAGTATAGTTA